TTGTCTATTCACGGGTCAACTTGTGGTTGACACTTGGGTTAGGTTTACTATGTATTTAATACATTACATACATGTGTTTAAGTGGCTCTTGACACTGAGCCTTGAGATGTAGCTTATGGCTTTATACAATATTTTGATATTACGTATGGTACTGTTAGCCCATGGCCCTGTAATTAGGTCCGACATACGGCAGTGAAGTTACTGAAGTCAATATATCAACTCAGCAGAGGATCATGTCAATCTCAGGGCCAAAATTTCAAGGTGTCTCATGTCAAGAATGTATGATGAGGATATGGCATAGAAGGTATGTTTGAATACTGTGAGGGATCAACCAACTGGTTGCAGGTACCCAGAAGCTGACACTTCTTCTCCACAAAACAGGAGCTGGCCATGGATGGCTCAGGTGAACTCCGGTTCACTGGAGCCTTCAATGTCCGCACTGTGGGTACAATTATACTACACAAAGTTGATTCTGGAACTTTTCCACAAAATTTCCAGAACATTTTTCAGAAAGCCAGAATGCTTCTGCACCCTGGGCAAAAGGGCATTCAAACATGTACTGTTTTTCAAAAGTCCAGGAGTCCAGAACACAGTCAAATCTGTGTTCTCGGGCCGTTCTGGAAAATTTGTGGAAAAGTTCCAGAATCAACTTTGTGTAGGACAAATTATGATGCAGCTGACTGCTCATGATGGTGAATCAACAGTCTCCCTCGAAGAGGCAACCAAGTTTGTAAGTGTGGTGTATGATGCCAAGCCGATGGATTGTTAAGTTTGAACTATTTCCAGATTCTCAGAGGATTCACTAAGATTGGGGCTAGTCTGCAGGATGAGATTCAAAGTTTCCGGCAAGCAATTGTGGATCATCTGACTGAAGACATGATGAACAGTGGTATGACGGTCAAAATGAAATCATTTGTGCGCATTGTTCATTGCTTCATAATTTCAACAGTTTCTGACCCTCAAATTCCACTTCTTGGCCCTGGGTTTAGAGCAAGAGAAATTGTATCAAAACAATTTATGCCATAGCTTCTCTTAGTCCGGGGATGCTATCACCCAACAAAGCTATGATAATCTTACTGTATCTCAAGGGCACAACTACCTTCAGCGTCTATCTTGTTGTCGACTCCCTTCCTCTTATTGAACCATTTCATTAATTTTGCGCCCTGTTTACAACAAAGGCAGAGGAGAAGATGACAATTCAGCATCTCCTCAAACCCTTCAAGGCTTGTGTAATTGATACTCCCAAGTTGTCACATCAATTTTGCAATAATATACAGCCCACTTTGCTTCCTGCCTTGGACAAGCCGAATTTCAAAGACAGCGTAATGGTTGGTCCGTCTCACTGGTTAATTACTATTTGATATTTTTGATGAGGTGCCCTCTACTAATCTCTTGACCTCAATGACATATTTTACAAGAGAGACTTCCATGTTTTGCACCGTTGTGATCCATCAAATACATGATTTTCCTAAGTTGATCAAGGTGTTCAAAGCTTGTGAGCAAAGGCTGAGGGAGTGGGTGGTCAAACTGGATTGGACCGGGACCACATACATCAATCTCCAGCAATGATTACTCTTGATGTACTTCATCAGTATGCTGACTGCTTACGGGCAGTTAGATGCGCTGGGGGTTGAACACAATAAAAGTACACATCTTGCATGAAAGAATTGAGCGGTAGGTATGGTTGTTGATCTCACCATAATGTCTTGCAGGTTTGGTAGCAATATCCAATACAATTGATATGGACCAGCTGATTGGAAATACCAACAACTTTGCTGACTCTGGGTTTGTCTGGATTCCCATGCCTGTCATGTTTTGCCTCCCCCAAAACTAGCTGGGCACTAAGTTCATCTTTGCTTCATTAAATGAACAGGGTGGATTTGGATCAGTCATACATGAGACTGAGATTGCAGGTACGCGGAAAACATTGGCTGATGAGGACAATGACTCAAGTAAAGATAAGGTTTTTGTAGCTGTTGACATCATCAAAACTCTTGAACAGCTTATCGTTGGTCTAGGAGGAAATCCCACTGTTTTGATGCAGGTAGAGGCAGCTTTGATTCCCTCGATAGGGTATACACTGAAGCAGGATCTTGCTTCACCAAACTCATAGTGAGTTTGACTACGTCGGCTAACATTCCATCTCCAAAAATATACAGCGAAGCTCTAGAACCGCTTGATTTGATCCATTTGCCTTGAAAGATATTTCAAATTCATAATGGTCAGTGTTTGATATCATTTACGTCATCTTCAAGACATCAGGGACTGATTTTATACCCAAAATGTTCGCTCCACTTGATAAGTTTGTCGCCTACAGTGCTAAATTTCTTGCCACCCACGCTGAGAAGAGAAACATGGTTTTTGATATTTACTTGGCTACAATAACCAGTAAAAATCTAATCTGTTCTGATCTTATGGTGGCTTTCAGGCTAGCCGGCAGTATCTGACTTTGTATGATCAATCATTTGTGCGGATTACTTATTGCTTCAACATTTCAGCAGTTTCCGACTTCCAAATTTCACCATGGATCAACCACCAGAAACACACAAAAAATGATGCCAGCTTTGGGTCATAAACCAACAATAAGGAAAAATGCAAATCTTCATTCAATTTCAACAAGAAAGAAAAAACTCAAAAAAATGTAGATGATAATCAATTTGACAAGATTCAATGGAAACTGCAACACCAACTAGAAGGATTTTACTGGTACACAATATCTGATTAGTGCAGAATTACACTCCTCATAACTGTTAGAATTCATGAGGCTTATCCTCAGGTTAATGGACCCTGATTGTGTTATTACGAATGGAAATGGATTCTTGGAATTATGAGTTGATTGATAGGAAAATAAAAGTAAGTGTATAAGAAATCTAACAAGAATTACATCTGATGTTGGTAAACAATCCATCAAGACTTTGTCCTCTAGCAGACATACCATCATGCCTCGCCCTAGCTTAGACGGAACCACCATAACACAGGTGGTTCCCATGTCCATGACAGGCTTGCAAGACCTGTGAAAGGTGGGCCGTGAAAGACGCACGGGTGGAGTTTTACCACTTTGGGAAAAACTCAGTCAACCACCCCGTGCGAAACCTTTCCCCAGCCAACACCAATCATCAACGTCAGCAAGCCTTCACACCACATAACCACCCAACCACCCAACCAAGGTGGTTCAGTTGGTTTCTCACGCTCCATCCCACCCACCGACCCAATGGAGGATCTCCAGCCAGGCAGTTTGGTTCCCGAAAACCAATCCCCCAGGCCGAGGCCCTTCACTACCCCAACCCGCACCTTCTTGACTACGTGTAAGGAAGGTGCATCTTGGGTGGACCATGTACAGACTCAGACCGAAGGTCGAGTCAATTGGGGAGAAGACCAGACACCTCTGGGCTATCTCCAGAATCCACCTACACCTAAGATAGGCAAGTGTAGAATGGAATAGTACAGAGCACCTTCAACAAAGGACCCAACACTAGCTCATTTCAATCTTGACATCTTATTTCACTTGATTTTTATACTTTTCAATTTGATTCATTGACTACAATCTTAATCCAATTGAATGGATCTGAAGAAGTAGATAAAATCAACATCAAAATCCAAGACAATACACCTAGAAATCAGGAACATAGCTGATCTCTACATTTGTCATGGAGACTATAGTACATAAGAAATTGATGCTTATTGGGTTTTTGATTTATAGTCTAGTGATCTTGTTCACTCTGACTGCAATTGTTGTGAGCACACCATTCAAAGGTATAGAGATTGATCTCAGAATTGAATCATTTGTCAGTTTATTGAACAACAGCAATACATACAGAAGCATGATATAATCTTGTAAGTTTTATCATCTCAACATGACTGCAAGAAGCAAATCTCAGATTTACAAATCCAAAACTCAAAAATTGAAAGAGAAAGTCAGTTCAAAATCCTTTCTTGTAAATGCTCAGCCAATAACTTCATTTAAAACATTGTCCAAGATTTCACTCAGAGACTGATCTGATTTTTAATTTCTGTTGGAATATATAGATTTCATTGAGTAATATGACATTCAAGCAAAAGTTGAAGAAGGTGTTCTTACCAATTTCAATTACTTCTATTCTCTAAATCATTATCATCTCAGTCTCTACAATCAAAGGTTTAAATTTAACTAAACAGCATTCTAATCAAGTAAGTTGATTTCTCAAGAAACTAATTTCAAAGTTCATCGGCGGAATAATGCTTGTCTATGCCCAAAATGCAATTGACTTGCATCACAGGAGTCTGAAAATTGACCCACAGCTTGTTTTATTACTGTTTATGTACCAACTACTTAGTCAAGATATGAGCTTATGTATTGTCATGTTTGTTTGAGCTTCCTTCATATGTGCAATTCCAAACAATCATATGATCACTTTGATCTATATGAATCCTGACAGTTTTCTATTCCTGAGAAATTCTTGAGTGATGCAAGAAACTTGGCAAACATATCAATGTTCCTGACTAATTGTTCGATTCCCTGCCTGACTCCTGTATAACTTGAATCGACTTTCCAATAAACTTCCTCAAGGTCATACATAGCGGAAACAATTTGAGCATTCTAACAAACTCAATATACAACATAACAAGCAATCAGATCCAACCTGTTCAAACATGCCTGTCCACCAATTACATGCAAATCATCCCTTTCCCAACTTACTATCCCTTCCCTTTTCTCAATCCTTGGATTTAAAAGGGAAAATCCACATTTACATTTAGTGTGGTAAATACATGTATGTAACATGTCCAGCCAAGTCACATGAAGTGTGGCTGTAGCATAGAGGAGACAGTCACATTTTTCAATCCACTCGTTCCCGCAATCTCGGATTCCCTTTAGCCGTTTGATCACCTTGTTAGTCAATTTTGTTTGATTCTCATCTATTTGCGACAAAAGAACCTAAACTCATTTACTTTTCTATTTCTGATCTCTCGGCTTGGTTAGCTACTGGTGCTGAAGGTGGTAATGGAGGTTATCCGACCTGTCAATGGCCTTCTGGCCAATTCAGTTCCCTCAAAATCCTAATGCTTATAGGCTAGGGTGGACTGGTTTAATTAGAATCAATGGGATCACATATAAATTCTTTGCCAATGCAAATGAATCATTGAATCCATCCAATCAATTCAAAACAGCTAGCCAATTATCATTTAATTACAACTCAACACGTTCAATCTTTGAATTTGAAGCAGGAGAAGTAAGATTATTAGTAGATTTTTCAAGTACTCCCAGTTCGGTGGGTGATCTTTTTACGTCAAATCAATCCAACTCATTTCATTACTTTCAAATTATCCAATCAAAGTTTATACTGATATTCAAGCTGATTAGGCTTCTAGTGATCATCAAGCTAATGCAACTTGGTCTTTAAATCAATCTGAATCTTCATGTTCTTTTCATGTTTCAAGGTTAAATCCGTGAGTGTTTAGTGAGCAATATGAACATGCCAAATGGGGTGAAGCCTGACCTATTCTACTGCTTCTGTTGCTCTTTTCTTTTTTGACCATCTAAAAGTTAAAATTCAAACTGACTTATTTTTCTTCAATTAGAATTACAATCTCACTACCACTTCTGGTTTGGGTTCTACACTTCAAACACAATTTTCAAAGAATGGAAAGCTATATTCAACTCAAGACCAAGGCTTTTTAAAATAGAAGATTGAACACCTACCTTTGGATTTGCAACTACATTACAATCAGGAAACTCTCCATTGGAATTTAGTCTTGATGATTGGACACGTTAGAGATCCTTATGTGTCTTATATTGTAGATACAAAAGAAACTAATGATTTATTTGAATTTGGTTATCATGATTTTGAAAACTCATTTAACAATTCAACTAATTCAGATACACAAATTTCTAATGATGCAATGAAAAGTGAAGGTGTTGATTATGCTGGAATTGCTTCTCTTAGTTTTTGTCAAGGTCCTTGGTGCTATTGAAATTACTATTGGAAGAATTGATCAGACTGGTGAAGTCAATCAAAATGATGTAAAAATCTTTTCAAAAGGGATTTCTAGTAATGGAGATATGAGTGTAAGATAAAATTGATTTTAATTCGATTGGCTCTTATTGAGGACTCACCTTTGGTTTTGACTTGTATTGACCATTCGGGGTGTTGATGTCATCTTTTGTGAGTCTTATTACCTTCTTCCAATACTTTACATCAGTGTCTAATTGTTCACTCTTTGCCTCGTGATTCACACAGCCCAATTTCCCTATCTTGACCTATTACAATTGTGTATTGTTGAAATACTTGCTCAAACCTCTGTTTGAGTATAGTGAGAGTGGTTTGTACCCTAACAGATGGTACATTTCAAATCCTATCATTCACGAGATTATCTATTTTTCATTTCTGACTCCGTTCTCTGTCTATTCAGGACTGTTCACAATCTTGGAAGGTACTGGAGTTAGTAGACCTATTACAAATTTATCCCATTGTATGTAATTAACTCTATGTAATGGTTACAAATTAGATGCTACTGCTCATAATGATGGTAATGATAAAGCCATGCTAATTGAAGAAGCTGGAAACTTCCTCATCATGACCTTAGTAATTAAGTGATTGCTCTAAACCAAATCACCATAATATCCAAATTTGAGGTCTTGTTTATTTGATAATTGTCAGGCATATCATTGATTAACAAAAGATACAACCTGGCTCACAAAACATGACAGCATTTCAACACAATGGAGATCATTTTTAATTACAGATGCATTAATTCTAGCATCACAACTTTCAACCAATGATTTTACAGGTCAATTGGCCAATCAAATTGATTTAGCATGAAAAGCAATGATTGGAATTGGTGTCATGTCAGAAATCTCATTGAAAGTTGGAGTTGTGAAGGAAGGAAATAGGTTAAGGAAAAATTCAGAAGATTATATTGAAAAATGGATTGATTTCTCAGTTACAAAAGATAGGAGTCATACTAAACTTGCTTATCAGGATGCAGATTCTTGGGGTACTTTTTATAATCTGTTTGCAATAAGTTTTGGATTTTTTTGTCTTGTTGAAGTAATATATTGAATGTTTTCTTCTTATTGTAATAAGTAATAATCAATCAAGCTGTAGCTCAATCTTGGTTTCTGCTAGTATGGCAGCGGCTAATGCTAGTCTTGGTGTCACAAGATTACTTGAATTCAATCATCAATTCATGAACAGGTAAATTGTACCCATTCCAAAACAAACAACCTTTTCAAGGATTCCAATTTAACTATATGGTCAAGATAGATGGCATCTTACCTATTAGTGTATTCAATGCAGAAATTGGTCCCACAACCAATCCAGTTGAACAAATTTTGATTGGAATTCCGTTTTCTGCACCTAAAACTATAAAGCTTTTTATCAGACAATATAATTGAACCTATCATACGGTTATTCAACAAGGATTTACAGCTTTATTTGATTGTATGATACATGATAATACTTCACTTGATGCTACTCCTCAATCTAGTCTGGTTTTACTTCTGGATTGTTCTAGATCTTTGAATTGTTCACTTACTAAATGGTCTTCTATTGCTTCCTGCCCAAATGGTGATAAGTCAAGTGATTGATTGATTGATTTTTATTTTTTATTTCAAAACTGATTTGATGAATCTGTTGGATCTTGGGGATGTTGTGACGGCAGATAGTACTAACTCTGCTAGTGGAGGATTGGTAATGGTTGCTATATGTCAAGATCAAACTTTCAAGTCATAGATTATAAAAGACAATCAGATGATGTTTTTGATAGAAAATTATGTTGATGTGGTATAAATTGTTATGTATTATTGGTACAAGTGATGATTATAAATACATCAGACCACGAGTCTGTTGACTCCGACCAGTCATAACCAACCTGAATGTTAAATATGCAAGAAATATCAATTTTAAAAGTTTGATAGAAGTATTACCTTTACCTGGAAAATCAAAACAATCATCTATTACGGTACTTACATTGATCATGAATTCTGTCAGAGGATCTCAAAATATTGATACTAATACATTTGGTGCTGGATTGAAATTGATTTATGGTACAATTGATCAAAAGATTATGGGTAGTGAAAAGTTTGATTCTTGAAAATTGATGGGATTATGTTGAATGAGATTATTGAAAGTTGTTTTGCACGCTTAAATTCAAAAGAATATTGATTGATACCTTTTCAAAAAATGGACCGACTTTTTTTAAAAAAATCATCTTCATTTGTAGTATATAAGAGTATTATTTTATGGAAAAGATGTATCTGAAAAAAAACATTCCAGAAAGTATGTCAAGCTCCATTGAAGGCATTTGGCAATCAAGGACAATAGGTTGGGATGAATTTTCACTTGGATCAGCTATAGTAACTTTATCATCTATCCTTTTGGAATTTTACCTAGTTTACTTATGTTTAAAAGTAGAGGTAAAGTATAAAATAGGTTTCCTTTGGATGATTTAATTTGTTTAATTGAAGCAGTTGGATCGGGAGATTTAGTAGATGGATTTGAAATTTGGAAAAGAAAGAGTAAATGGATTTGGTGAAGGATTTTAATGAATGTAAGAATGAAAAAAGGGTGTATATACTTGAAGGACTTAAAATGGTTAAATTTAGATTAGAAAAAGAATTCAAATATAAATCTTTTTGAAGCCAGTTTTTTAGACTCAATTTGAATGTGGAGAGGTTGAGATTACAATTTGAATAATATTCTTCATCTGGAGAGAAGTTGGTGGCAATTTCTAAATCCTGGTTCCTTTACCACCAGGACATATTGTGTATTTAACTTGCTCTTCTTTAAGTGAAAGAGTAAGGATGGAAGGATCCACTAATTCTCATGTCCAAAGATTAGAGACAAAAAGGAATAGAGAAAAAGGAAAGTATGTGAAGCAGTTGTTATTGAATTTTTAAGAAAACAGAAAAGGTGAGAAGCGGTCAATTCAAGGGACAAATCATTATTAAATTGAATTGAGTGAATCCAAAGATAATTCAAGAGTTGATTTGAAGGATCAATGAGATCAGGATGTTCCAGGAATTTTCAAATGAATTTCCTGAAACATGAAAGATCAAAAATAAAGATAGTCAGAACCTATGCAAACTTCAAAACAAAACGAAACAAAAATAAATCAAAAGTTAATGCTCACCATGAAACAGTGTCACAACAAAGAGGAAGGCCCAAGGCCTGTGCACTATCTGAGTTAGGTGATGTGCGTCTAATCTTGATACATTCAAGTTGATTGCTTGCTGAGAGGTCTAAGAAAATGAGTGTCCATAACAAATGCCACTTCTCGTTGATCTTATTGGATCACATCCTCAGTGGGGTGTCTTAAGCTCCTTTGATCCTTATGCAAATCTCATGGGTTATCATATATATATCTTGTTTATGGCTTTGAGAATAATGTCTTCCTTGGTCTGGGCTTAAATATAATGGTTGAGCACAAAAGGTGGCAGTCAAATCAGACATCTCAGCCTTCAGCAAGTCCGACATAAACTGGACGTCCCAACTGGACTGTGTCAGAAGATCCAATTGATGTATTGAGATGTCAGATGTTGCTGTACCGCTGTGTGTGTTCAATGGTGGTATGAATGAAGTTGTTTTTGACTGTATTTGCCAAAAGATAAAATTTAAATAGATAAAATAGGAAAAAATATGTATACTGAGAGAAGGCAGAGTTCAACCAAATGGATATCACATCTGATTCCCAATTTCCTTCCAATCAACAAAGAAGATGTAAAAATGAAGTTGATTTGTATGAAGAACAAGATAACCAAAACATGCTAAACGTCTCATTTGACAATTCAGGAATGGGAAGTGGAGCATTCACATTGGATGTGCTTGTGCTCATCACAATGTTTGCGTTGTATCTTGCAATGGGCGCTTGGGCCATAAGAATTTGTGGCTGTTTGATGCCCAGGCGGTCTCCCACCCATTTTTCTAATGGGCAACCTTTTGATTGGTTGGCCTTTTCCTTGAGGTTCCATTTTTGTATGGTATGAATGAACTGCAGAGATGATTCATGTATGATTGATCATGCATGATTGAATCATGATAACAAAATAGAATGGATAGTAAAGAAGCAGGAATGGATGAATTAGTCACTTTATATCAATGTGGCTGAAGCATTGCCAGGAAACAATTAGAAAGTAGTACAGAAGTGTGTAAATGAGAAGAGGTCGACTCCAGAGTTGAATCCATGATTTGAGAGATAAGCAAGCTGATTCTGTCCTCCCTGAAAGGATTCCAGGCCATGGCTGATAATTTGCTCAGCATGATGTTGAGTGACCATTTTATGAGGTTAGGGAGTTACTGTAGATCTAGTGAGTGTTAAGATGTTCTATCTTGGTAGTAGTCAAAAGTCATTACCGGATTGAGAAGTGGCTTTACCTGATTTGGAAGTGGTTGTGGGTGATGTTGTACAGCAAGGGATGGAGGTGTATTAAATCACACTGAAATACAATGTGTTTTTCTGTGGTGAAAAACGATTACATTTAATTCAAAAATTGATTAAAAGTGCATTAAATCTGCATTATTGATCATTTTGTGCATCAAGTTCAATCATCTGTTGCCTCAGAGAAACACATCATACTTGCAGTGTCAAGGGATGGAAAAAAATTGTTTCTTGTTTTCAGTTATGTGGTTGTTCTTCCCCCCACTTTCTGATTTCTTTTGCTTATCAAAAAGAATCAATAAGTAATTTCACTCCTACTGAGAATACATGTTATTTTTCTCTCTTAACTAACTCCTCTTTCATTTACTTTTCATTTCTACTGTGGTTATGTTTCAAAGTCATCATACTAGTGTCTGTTATCTAATCACTTCCATCACACACTCTTCTTTTACTTCGAGCATGCAGGTATTATCATTTGCTATTTTTCATTTCATTACAGTTTCTTATGTTTTCTGATCTTTGTCTCTATTGTGTTGTGTGATACTGAACCTTTGTAGGTCAGTTTGTTGTTCTTGTTGTTGGCAAGCTTAAAGCTTTAGTCTAACATGTTTCCTGTGCCCTCAGGTTTGTCATCAAAAAGAATCATTGTCATACTAGTGTCTGTTATCTAATCACGTCCATCATGCGCTCTTCTTGTACTTTGAGCACGCAGGTCAGTTAGTTGTACTTCTTGTTGTTGCCAAGCTCAAAGCTTTAGTCTAATACGTTTCCTGTGCCCCCAGGTTTACTTCATATATCTAGAGCTTTCACAATGTAGCACCCAAGTGGTCCTAACTGTATCAAGGCCTGGATTGATTCTTTCAAATCTGCATAGTGAGTGCATGGGCAAACAGTCATAAGACTCGGAGGGGACCTTTGAAAAAGGTCCTGTCAATACAATCTGGGAAGAGAAATTTCTGGTAGATTGGTGACGCCGGGACCAGGAATGATTCCAGTCCATGTCACAGACTGGAAAGCTCTCCATGTGACCTGACATGTTATAGGTCAAGCGGCCTCTGCTCTGAACAGCTGGTGTCGGGTTTCAGCCGTTTGACCAGTGTTGCCCTGAATTACACTTTCAGGCATGGATGAGAGGAGCAAGTACAGTGAGTACTTGCCCTCTCTGCCGGATGTGAAGTGAGAACTCATTCTTCCTCCTTCACGTCTCTTTCCTGCCTCATCCTCTGGTTCCTCCTCCTATCTAAGAGGGGCTCTCTCCGCGGGTAGATCCTCTTTTTTCAAAATTTACCAGCTTCAATCCTGAGAAAGAGTAGAAGGAATCAGAATTTAGCTCCAGAGGTTATAACAGAACCAACTCCACCACAATCACAAGGAGAAAGAAGTTTTGAGAAGGAATAGAACATGAAGACGCTTTGGAAGAAATTAGATTGAGCAAGTCAAAGAGAAGTAACAACAACAGAATACACTACGCCAGATCACTAATTTACTGCTGGGTTCAGAAAATTGAAACTGTAGAAAAATATCACCAATACAGGGGAGGTCAGAAAAATTTTAAAAAAATAATGATTCAATTCATAGGTGCTGTCCCCTCATTTTGCATATTTTTGCATAATTTTGCCATGATTTTTGAAGTCTCCCCAAACCAAAATGCTCACAGGGGATATTATGTCAGAAACTCAAATTTGGTCCAAAACTAGCAATATTTGGGCAAAAACCTCCAAGCACAGAAATATGAGTATTTTTGTTCAATCATCTGAACACTTGCAGTTTATGGAAGCCACATGATGTCTCTACAAGGTTTATTAAGGTGCTGAAGCCATTGTAGTAATGACTTCTATGTCTATATATGGTTTCTGCTGTGTACGTCTCTTGATATATCTCACCCATCATTGGAGACACACAGCTTTTTTCTGCACACAAACTGTAGAGCCAGAATGTGGAATTCAGAATGTCAAGACATTACATGTGTTGGAGAAAAATTGATGATTTTGTTGGTGTTGCAAGGTCACTGTCTCTCTACCTGCCAGCTTTGGACCAAAATTGGGTTTCTGACATTATTTGCATTGTGGTTGTAAAAATATGAAAAAATATGCCAGATGATTGGAATGCACCGAAGGGCCCAACCAATATTTTTTCATATCTTTCTGACCCCTCCAAGCTCTTCCATAATTTTCTATGTCTGCTCAATTTTCTAAACTCAGCGGTAAATTTTCAATTTGGCGTAGTGATAAACCATACATTCCTTTGAGATAAATCAATCTCAAACAATGACATTAACTTTGAAACAATGAACAATAATAAATTAGATGATGAACCATTATTCAGCAATGAAAAAGATAGTGATTCAGATTTGTCAATTGAAGAAGTAGAGAAGAAGAATATGAGTAAGTCTTTATAACACACCTTTTTCAACTTCAATCACAAATCAATTCAGAAAGATCATTAGAATCATTCAATTGAACAACCCACTATTCTTTCCAAAACACTCAGTTGAACAAACCACTGCTCATACAAGTAGAATGCAAGCTATGTAATTTTTCAATAATCATTCCTCTGCTCCGTGTTACAACTCTATATGGAATGGCCTGTGAAAGAAACAACTACATGTCACGTATTGGTTCTATTTATACTCGCTGTATTACGTAACTTGTATTAGCCTTCATCCAACAATCTCTTTAGACAATAGAACAGAACCCTTGGCAGCTTTCCTTCATCTCCTGCACCCCGTGACAACAGGTCATAACATATTGTTGGATCTATTCTCATCAGGAATTGAGGAACGAAGTCATATAGATATTTAGAATTGAAATCAATTAGAATTCAGACCGAACTGATTTTAGATTCAAACCGTAACTTTATCAGATTGAATTGAAAACTTTATTATACTGAGTTGAGACATTGTATAAGATTGATCGACCAAACCCTTCAGAAGACTGACTGAACTTTACATTAGATAATTAAAATTCAGACTGTGTCTCAAACCTAGACTGAATTACACCAACACCACCACGTCACCCTCATACAGGCTCCCCGCAGTTGGAAACTCCGAATCTGATCCCAAGACAAACAATACTTTCGTCAATACTGAAACTCATCTCGCCATTGAAGGACCTTCTAGACTTGCGATTGAGGGATCATCTGCAATGGAAGACATCCAGAGACAGATTAATGAACTCTTGAATGCTCTAGCAAACAAACGCACTCTGCAAGAACAAGCCGAAGCCAGATCTAACAATGCTGAGGCTCAATTAGCCGCTATAGAAAACGCTAGTAATAACCAGCACCCTCCGACTCCTGATACCGCTCAACAGGTAGCAATGTCTCAACCACCGCATGAGGTCGCACCTAGTCCTAAAGGGCCTAAGGTTGCGACCCCTGACAAGTTCAGCGGTACTCATGGCGGCCCTGCTGAAATCTTCGCAAGCCAAGTTCAGTTATATATGCTTGCACATCCCTACCTCTTTCTCAACAATTGCAGTAAAGTGGTCTTTACCTTGTCTTATCTCACCGGAGCAGCTAGTAGCTGCGCCAATCTATGACGCTCAAATTGCTTGACCCTGCTACCGCCAATACTGTCACGCTCAAATGTTTCATCACCAACTTCAAGGCGATGTACTTCGACACCAAGAAGAAGTCAAAGGTCAAATGAGCATTACAAACCCTGACTCAGAAGGGTACTGTAGCCGCCTATGCCGATGACTTCAACTTGCATGCTAGTGCCACTGGGTGGGAGGTGCCTACCCTTATCACCCATTTTGAACAGGGTCTGAAGAAGGAGATTAGAGTTGCGATGGTGATGGTTCAGGAGGACTTTGCAAGCATTGAGCAGATCGCGAACCTGGCAATCAAACTTGATAGCAAGATGCACGGCGCTACGGGCACATCCACCATGTTTCACATTCCCTCCGACCCAAATGCCATGGACATATACTCCAATTTTGTTTGATTGGCTGAGGAGGAACGTGCTAGACGTATGCGTAGGGGGTCCTGCTTCCACTGCGCAGCCCAGGGTCATTTTGCATCTGATTGTCCAGGGGAGAAGAGTGGTGATAATGGGAAGAAGAGAGGGGGTCTCAGAGGTTCAGGAGGTTTCAAGCATAAGATGGCTGAGTTAGAGGCAAAGGTTGCTGCATTAGGAGGTGGAAATTCAATTGCTGAAAATAGAGGAGAGGGTGGCAGTCAAGCTGATATTTCAAAAAATGGCGCAGCTCAGGAGTGATAGGTGTGCCTATCCTGAGCTCAAGAGGGGGACTTAATGTTATAGAACTTGGTGCTAGTAGTTTTTATAATTGCAATTCAAATGATCCTCGATTATTTCTATGTACTTCTTTATCAATGTCCCAAGTTCCCCGCGCCAAACCACCCATTTCCTTTCAGGCCCTTTTTCTCGTAGACTCTGGTGCTACACACAATGTCCTTAGTGAGTTTTGCGCTGCTGAGGCGGGTTTGCTTCAGTATGCTACCCAATCCACCAGAGCCGTAACTGGATTTGATGGCTCCGTAAGCCAATCATCTTACAAAACCAACCAACACATTCAAAATGATTCATCAAGTACAAAATTCATTATCACGAAAATTAAGAATTCATATGACGGAATACTGGGTATTCCCTGGATTAAAGCAAACAGTGACCTGATCAACTGGAAGGCTGGCAAGATTAATCACATAAAGCCACACGTTGCAGCAGTGAACACCGCTTTGTCTCATCCGCCACCACCCTTACAGGACCCCAACATGGAACCCGTAAGGGACACTAGGAATAGTGACAAGGGGATGTGTATCAGTGATGATACGTCAGCATCCCCGCAACATGTGTATGTTCTGGTAACTCCATCTCAGCCTGTCAAACCTGCTGGCAAGCACTTGTTTCCCTCTAAATCACAGGGAACAACCACAGACGGACCTAATAACGAGAATCCCGACAACAAGCACCACATTTTAGCCTTGACAAAGGCTTTGTCCTGTCCGACACATAACCCCGAGGATCCAAATGAGATGCCAAAGGGGCAAGCTAGGATATGTGACGAGGGGATAGGTATTAGTGATGATACTGCAACATCCCCGCAATGTGAGTTTGACCCTTCTACATCTCATGTCCCAATTGAATCTGCTGGCAAGCTTGGTACTATCATGAATTCCACAGAGACAAGCATACATGCCGCGAGGACATCTTGGTTGACGTCAGCACAATTAGCAGCCGCCTTGAAACTTCAAGAACTAGCCAAGTCTGTCAAAGAGCTTGTACCGACATATTAGCACCGACACCTTCATATGTTCCGCAAATCTAACGCTCAAATATTACCACCAAGACAAAAATATGATTTCAAAGTTGATCTGATCCCCGGAGCCCAACCTCAAGCGGGTCAAATCATACCTTTATCACCAGCAGAAGATGAAGTGTTAAGCAAGATGATTGCTGAGGCCCTAGCAAATGGTACCATAAGGAGAACCACCTTGCCGTGGGCTGCTCCGGTGCTCTTCACTGGGAAGAAGGATGGCAACCTTTGACCGCGCGTTGACTATAGAAGACTCAACTCCCTCACCATAAAAAACAAATATCCACTTCCCCTGACTATGGATCTTGTTGATAGTCTGTTGGATGCCGAGAAATTCTCTAAGCTCAACATGTGCAATGCCTACGGAAATCTTCAAGTGGCTGAAGGCTACAGGGACATTTTGGCATTCATTTGTAAGCATGGCCAGTTTGCGCTGCTTACCATGCCATTTGGACCCACTGGAGCGCCGGGCTATTTTCAATTTTTCATTCGGGATATGTTGGTGGGTAGAATTCAAAAGGATACGGCAGCCTACCTTGATCTTACTATGATTTATACTAAGAAGAATGTTCACCACAAAGCAGCAGTTGACACGGTTTTAGATGTCCTGTGTAAACACAGCTTATGGCTAAAGCCCAAAAGGTGCGAATTTTCTAAAGATGAAATTGAATACTTGGGATTGTTAATATCAAAAAACAAAAACAACATGGATCCCACAAAGGTGAAGGCTGTGAAACACTGGCCAGCACCTCGCAACGTGAATGAGTTACAACGATTTATTGGTTTTTCAAATTTTTTATCGGCGCTTTATAGACCATTTCTCTCTCACTACTTGACCATTGCATAACCTGACAAGATTGAAGACCCCTTACATATGGGATGAGAAGTGCAACAAAGCATTTAATAAATTGAACACTGCATTCACATCAGCCCCTATTCTCAAGATTACGGATCCTTATAAGGCCTTTATCCTTGCCTGTGACTGTTTGGACTTCGCCCTTGCTGTGATCTTATCTCAGGTATGCGACAAAGACAATCTGCTTCACCCGGTGGCCTATTGATCTTGATCCCTAGCTCAAGCCGAACAAAATTACAAGATCTTCAATAAGGAGCTACCACCATGTCTGTCTTGGTGTAGCACGTCGACGTGCACACACCAAGAGTGTTGTAATAATTTCGAAATAGATTTCATTTAGTTCAGATAGCAGTCTGTTGTTCCGTTTCCTTTGTTGATGGAATATCAAAATTAAGATGTTAACCCCCTTTTCTATACATCTTGGAAGAAAGGATGGTCTTGGTCTTTTTTTTGTTTTGTTTGGGTATCAGCGACTATTATAGTAATGGTCCCCAAAAATAAATCTTGCTAGGAATTTACATTCCTGATCAAAGCGTGCCGATCGTCCCGTTTGTGAGGGTGATGAGTTGAGAAAGGCCTGATACATTTTTTCGAACTGATTCATTGGCACTCAGTTCAAAGACACAGATATATTCTTGCTTCCAACGTTCCGTAATCCCAGGAATTAGTCTCCTTGAAGCCAGCTCCTTCTACTCCTTAGAGCATTTGACAATGTGTACGTGCATATTTCTTCGAATCTAACCCCAACTAGAATTCCCTACTGATAGCTTTTCATCCTTCCAACTGATAGCCTCCCATCACTGGAAGAAAGGAGCTGCCGTGACCTCACTCAAAGCTTTGAACGCTTCGGTTTCCGATTCGCTTCCAGATTCCACCGAAGCTCTCTGCCAATTGTTAGCCGGCTTCACCAGACATATGCTTGGTTTCAACGAGTTGACAAAGGCTTATCCGCCGGAACCCACTCCTGACGAACTCTGCCGACTTCGTCCTCTCACTCGGGATGACATAATGTCCGATCGCGCTGTTTTCACATCAAATCCAACTCATGTTATTGTTAGAGACAGCGACGCTAAATTGGAGCGATTTAAGGCTCTATTTCTTGCTGACTTGCAAAAGCACGGTATCAATCAAATTACTTTTGATTGGAAGTCTCCTGATAGAGATCCTTGGAACCGTACCATGGCACTCTTTTTGGTCAAGCATTGGCAATACGCCAAGTCAGAAGGTGCCTTCCCCAAGCAATCAATCTCTTCCGATGATTCCACCGAGAAAGTATGCATTGGCATCGTACATCGATGGATGCGTGGAACGGCCACCGATATACGACAAGGGCGCCGATCTCCCCAAAAGCTTCTACGGAAAGAGACCGGCCGTAAAAAAATCGCGGTGAGTTTTAAATTGACGTCTTGAATAAGTGTATCTTGAGCTGATCTTTTCTGAGCTGGTCAGCTCTTCAAGTATCGTCTCCGTTCGATGTCTGCTCTTGCAAAGGCAGAAAAACTCGGAGATGAGGCTACAAAACTGCTGCCTCATCACGACTGCTGTTCAGACACGGAGTGGCAGCCCGAAAACACCCATCACCCCGCAGTTGGCCTTATCTGGCGTAGTCAAGAATTCACTTCGGTGCTCCATCAACTCGATGAATTATCTGAGAAGTACAGCTCTTCCACAAAGGGTCCATTGATCACATCACGGCGATTTGATCAATGTCGCACTGTGGCGACTACGACTAATGCAAGCGCTCCGGTCTGCAGAGGTCTACCTGAAAATTGTTATGAGCCGGTTTGGTTATCATCATTGACCGCTGAGGAGAAGGTGTCTCTTCAAATCAAGCCAGTTTCGACCCTCTTGAATACCTTACCAGTTCACATTAAGAAAAATCTTGTTTAAGTAGGCACATGTTACTGGCTAAGATATGGTTGCAAAAATAGAAGAAGTTGTTGTACCAACCAAGTGTTCACATGTAATTTCTGAGGATATTCAGTCAAATACAAAGATTTGTTGTGTCAATAGTTGACTAAAGCTCCATACATCATGTAATAGAATAAAGAAAGACATTCAAGTCAAAGACATGTCCGAGATACCCTAAGTGGATTTGTTAGCATGCAGACTTCAACAC